TTTTTTTTTTTTTTTTTGGTACTGGGGATTGAACCCAGGATCACTTTACCCCAGTCCTTTTCATTTTTCATTTTGAGATGGGGTGTCAATGAATTGCTTAGGGCCTCCTTAAGTTGCTGGGGCTGGCCTGGAACTTGCTATCCTCCTGCCTCAGCGCTGGGATTACAGACATATACCAATGTACCACCACGTCCAACAACGTGGTCATTCTTAAATTTGAAAGGCAAAATCTTGGTTTGGGGCCTGGGGATATAGCTCAGTGGTTGAGTGTTTGCCTAACATGCTGTGTAGGCTCTGGGATCCCCCAACACCTCGAAAACAAATAAAACAAAAACCCTAGATGATCCCTTAACTACCTTCTGATTTCCCTTCTTATAAATTGAAAGGGAATTGTCTCCATCTCTCAAAAGCTCCAGAAAGCAATCTGAGACCCCGAAATGTGGAACAACTGAATCACCGGAAAGAGTCTGCAGAAGTGAAGATCTGTAGCTCTGGAGACCAATCAATTCATTGCTGTGAGGGCCAGCTCCCTCCAGAAGTGTATTTTGACCTTCCTAGGTTCCCTCTTTGGGGGCTCCCAACCTATCCCAGAGATAATTATCTGTTTACTTCTGCTCTTCCAAAGCACAAACCTCAACATTGGGTTTATGCATTGCTGGGTGCCCAGATTTTCAACTTCCTGGTATACTGAAGTCCTGTGATTACATGTGGAAGTTGATAAGCAAAAAATCCATCACAGAGCTTGGCCCATCCTCAGGTAATCTATGTCCTGGGAATAACACAGGAGAAGGTAAACAAGGTACTATAGCACAGAGGAAATAAAAGCCAGATGCCCTTACCCACCGAGATTCCTTAGGATTCAAACCCATTTTGTTCTTGTTAGTTTCTATTATAATTGAAAACCTTAAATATATTTTTTTTCAAATGAACAAGGAGCTGTAACACCAGCCTAGAGGGGACTCACGGAGGCTTGGACTGATTATCATGCTTGGCAGGATCTTTGAAGTGACCACAGGCCTGTCCTTGGTCCCCAGGGCCCTTTGTGATTTCTGCTTCCCAGATTGGCAGGAGCAGGAGATTGAAGCCTCCAGTTTAAGGTCATTAAGCACATCCTGCAGTGTCTCTGGCCATTCTGGGGCATAAGGCCATCCCTCCCCCCACTTCCGGAGTTTATCATCTCAGCTGCCACATCACTGCCCTGCTGGCCAGTTTGGAGAGTGGATTGGCAGACTCTGGAGTTGGTATGGGTGGATAGCTTGTGCCAGGGACCACACCTGGGTAGCCAGGTGACCTACCACTACATGAACAGAAACAGCAGACAGGGGTGTATGCATGAGGTGCCTCCTTTAACAAATATCCTGATAGGGCTGGGGTAGTCGCTCAGTAGTAGAGCTGCTAGGTTGCCCAGCACGTGTGAGGCACTGGTTTCAATCCTCAGCACCACATAAAAATAAATAAATAAAGTTCTTGTGTCCATCTACAACTAAAAATATTTTTTAAAAATATCCTGATAAATTCTTTAGTGTTCAGTCTGCCTGGAAGGTGAAGGAAGTGGTCACTGCAGGTATCAATGAGGATAGGAAGGAGAGGAGGAGGTGAAATGACTCAGAAGCATCTTAGAGTTAGACCAGTGGCCACAAACATCCTGGTGAGATGGTGCATAATATGTGCTAGTGCTTAAAATTACCAGCTGAGTCAGGTGAAGCAGTGCACAACTAACCCAATGACTCAGGAGGCTGAGGCAGGAGGATTCAAGTTCAAGGCCAGCCTCAGAGACATAGCAAGGCCCTCTTCATCTTAGTAAGACTTGTCTCAAAATAAAAAATAAAAAGGGCTGGGGATGTAATCTCAGTGATAAAGCAACACTGGGCTCAATCCCCAGTACCAGAAGAAAAAAAAATTACCAGTTGAAGCTAGCCTAACTTTGAGGGTCTGGAATTATCTAATGCAACCTCCCACTCACAAGCAGAACTCCATTTCCACCATCCCTGCCCGTAGCCACTTGGCCTCAGCCCGAGCATGCCGAGGCTCAGAGTCAGAGGGATTTAGTCCATGCTGTGAGACCTGTAGAAAACTGAGCCTTAGGGTGTCTCTAAAATGGAGAGAATCACAGTCCCCTTACAGTAGAGAAAACATTGCAAAAGTATATAACACAAGAGCTGATACATTGGGTTCCCATAAACCCCAGTTTTCATCATTATTATTATTATTAACAAAAGCACAAACAACTCTCCGTTTATACACACTAGGACGGGGACTACCAGAGTGTGCTCCTGAACCAGCAGCCGCAGCAGCAGCAGCATGTCCCTGGAAACTAGTTAGAAATACAAATTGTGAGTCTTGCCCCAAACCTGCTGAATCAGAGACTCTGGGAAAAAGGCTCAGTAATTTGTGTTCTAACAACCCTCCAGGGCATGCAGATGCAGCTAAGGTTCGAGATCACTGCTTTAAAGCTGCAAAGAAAAAGTCTAATTCTCATTCTGCAGAGAGTCACTCACCATCTGAAGACACTGTGTTCTTTGTTCCTAACATCATCTTCTCCACTTCCTTCAGCCATTCCTCATGTAGTGGGTAGTTCCTTTGTCCTTCTTATCTTGCCATCATGACATGCTCTGATTGTCTGTGACCCTTTCTTTACAAAGGGTGGCTCCCAGCCCTGCAACCCTGGATTCCTGTGGTTTGAGCAGCACTTAGTGCAATGTTTTGTTTTGTTTTTAATTTTTACTTTTTATTTGTTCTTTTTAGATATATATGACAGTAGAGCGTATTTTGACATACTATACATACATGTCCGATTCATTCTACTGTCTTTCCTATTCCCATCCCCCATTCCTTCCCTTCATTCCCTTTTGTCTAATCCAATGAACTTCTATTCTTCCCTTCCCCTCCCTTATTGAATGTTAACACTCACATATCAGGGAGAACGTTCGGCCTTTGGTTTTGGGGGATTTTACTTACATGATATTGTCCGGCTCCATCCATTTACCAGCCAAAGCCATAATTCATCTGTTGAAGAACACCTAGTTTGGTTCCATAGCTTAGCTATTGTGAATTGAGCTGCTATGTGTCACTACAGTATGATGATTTTAAGTCCTTTGGGTGCTTACTGAGGAGTGGGATACTGAGTCAAATGGTGGTTCCATTTCAAGTTTTCCAAGGAACTCCATACTGCTTCCCAGAATGGTTGCACCAATTTGCAGTCCCACCCTTAACGTATGAGTGGACCTTTTCCCCCACATCCTCACCAACATCTATTGATAATTGCCATTCTTTCTGGAGTGAGATTGAGTCTCAGTGTAGTTTTTTTTCTTTTTCTTTTTTTTTTTT